TAGAATAGAATAGAATAGAATAGAATAGAATAGAATAGAATAGAATATGCCAAAAGCCAGCAATCATTTCAGATTCTTTCACTCCACCCACAGAAGGTATTTCCTACAAATGTTCCTTGTGTCACAGCACCAGAATGCAATTAGATGGCAGTTAATTTTATGTATCCCTAGCAGAAATGATTTTGCTTCCTAAATTTGAGGTGAAGATTTAGAACCGTCCTGTTTTGTTTTGTTTTTCATCCAGTTTTCATTCTGCATGCAGGCAAAGCAGATTGATGCAGAATAATCTCTTGTTTCCAAAGACCGCGCATAAAAACTAGATTGCCTAGATTTTTTCAGTGTGAGGACTCTATGCCAACTTTTATTTACACAAGCTGGCTAAACTGCTCCTGGGTGTACTGTTATAGGAAGTCAATTCAATCCTTAGCATTGCCACAAACTGGTCCAGTCAGCATTGTCTATTAATTTTGATGTATTAATGTGTTATATACAAGTGATACTTCTGTATTATTGTTATTCTTCACTCTACTAAACTTGTATTAAAAACAAAAGAAAATGGCAACCACTTCTGTACAGTTGCTAAGAAATTTATATGATGCTCAGTTTGACAGAGTCTTTGCTTTTTTAGTTAAAAAAACCCCACAGCTATGTTAACCATAAGAGAATCTTAGAATTACAAAAACTCAGAGTTACTTCTGAATAGACAGGAGTAAGATTGGATAAAAGAACCTTAACAGTTGTCTGTGGAGATTCTCAAGTCATCCAGGTCATGATTGTCCCAAAGGTGCTTTTTCAAGAGGCAACTGGACTTTGTTTTTCCTTGAAGATGTTCACTTGTCATCCAAGAAGCTTCTTCAGCCCTGACTGAATGGTGGGGAATGGAAGGACTTGTATTGCTTGCAGACATTTACATTCTCTTAAAGAGTCAGGTGGCTGGATGGAATCACTGAAGCAGTTGGCATGAGCTTAAATGGACTCCAGAAGAAGGTAGAGGACAGGAAGGCCTAGAGGAAAATTGTCCATGAGGTCGTGATGGGTCGGTCATGATTTTGCAACTAACAACAATAAAAAAGAGTCATTGAGGCCACTTGAAGGTTTGCTTGTATCCTCAGGTTCACCTGAGTAATACAAGTGGATATAGAGCCTTCTTGGAACTTAGAAAGAACTGTGTTGTGGAACTGTGCTTTCGGCAAGACACTTTCTGCCCTAGCTGTATTCCTTCCCTGTTGAATCCAGTTGCAGGCTGTTGGGGATGAGTCTGTGCTGTCTATATCTCAAACTGAAGTGCAAATGGTCTGCATTTTTCTGGACGTCTTCTTGGATGAGAAGAGAAACATCTTCAAAATCCTTTTACCCTAACCCTCTTGAAAAAGCATTTTGGGACTTAACAGTGGTCCTGTAGTACAACTACAGTGAGCCAAAATTTCTATTGCTATGCAAGGCAGTTGTTAACGGAGTCATGTCCCATTTACAACCTTTTTGCCACAGTTGTTAAGCAAATCATTACAGTCCATCATGCAGTCAATAAGCAAATTTGGCTTTCCCCATTGACTTTGCTTGTCAGAAGTTTCCTAGGAAGGTTGCAAATGACAGTCCCACCCCGAGATGCTGCAGCCGTTGTAAATAATGCTGGTTACTAAGCATCCAAATTTTGAGCACGTAACTACGGGGATGGTGTGTGAGAACCGGTTATAAGTCACTTTTTTCAGTGCCGTTGTAATGTTCATTAAATTACTGTAAGTAAAAGACTAATATCTATGAAGATTTTCAGTCATCCAGGTCATGATTGTCCCAAAGGTACTTTTTTCAAGAGGCAACTGGACTTTCTGGTTTTCTCTTAAGACATTTTGCTTCTCCTCCAAGAAGCTTCTTCAGCACAGGGCTAAAGAAACTTCTTGAATGAGATCAGTGGTGAGATTCAAATTTTTTTACTATCAGTTCTATGGGCATGGCTTGGTGGGCATGGCAGGGGAAGGTTACTGCCAAATCCCCATTCCTTCCCTACCCCACTAACCTGCTTTCTAGCTTCATTGTCCTGTGGAGGGCAACAAAAGAAGACTCAGCCAATCAGCTGGGACTTGGGAGACAGAGAATAGATGGAGCGGGACCGTCAGAGGTAGCATTTGCCGGTTCTCTGAACTACTCAAAATTTCTACTACCAGTTCTCCAGAACTGGTCAGAACCTGTTGAATACCACCTTTGGATAAGAAGCGAAACATCTTCAACAAAAAAAACCTTTGAAAAAGCACCTTTGGGTGAGGAGCTATAGTCATTAAATTATTGTAAGTGAGGACTATCTGTATCTCAAACTTGCAAACTGGGATGAGCGTGGACAGTGACCATCTAAGTTAATCTTCCCCTGGCACCTTCAAAATTCCCAACTTCCGTTCAGGCTGACTGAAATTCTGAGAGAGCTGTAGGCTGTGGCCATAGAGCAAGTTTACCTGGGCCATGTAAAGATCTCAAAGTCTGTATTTTGCATTTGCACAGTGTGTGTAGATTCTTTAATTTAACTTGTGTTCATTTGCAGCTTTGTTAATTATGAAGTGGACCAGTTATGTTGTGCCAAGCTAGAAATAACTCTGTTACGAATATAACCTAAAATGTACATTTTCTCCACTTGGGAAGCTTCACCTTAAGATCCAGATCCTTAGTAGATGCCAAAATATTGTCATGTTATCACAATGGCAACACACAAATGATGCCACTTTCCCCTTTTCTCCTCCCCTCCAAAGAATGACTGCATATAAAGACGTTTGAGGTTCTGGATTTTCAATTTTGAAAGTGAAAAATAACTAGGAGATGCCCTTAAGCTAAAAGAATTGTTTGGTTCCTTTTTCCCTAGTCAGACACAGAGTTTTGGGACAAGATGCAAGCAGAGTGGGAAGAAATGGCTCGCAGAAAGTGGATTTCAGACAGCCAAGAAACACAAGGACGAGTGGCCGTCTCCATTAATGAGAAGGTAACCTGGGATTGTTGAAGAACAGAGAACATATTTATGGTAGTCCCAGATCAGTACAAGGCAAATTTGCATATCATCCCATAGGACCTGGTTCTGTAAAGGGCCTTCTATCCTAGTAGTTTCTATGGTCTGATGCAGTTGGCATGCTCTGAATTAAAACTGGTCACCTCTTGAGACCCAGAAAATGGGCCTACTTTTCAAAGCACCTATGCTGTGGAACACTTTCCCCCATGAGATTACCTTCTACCATGGATGTATTTCAATTAACTCCTTTCTATGGATTCTGGTGGCTCAGTGGCTAAGACACTGAGCTTGTTGATCGAAAGGTCGGCAGTTCAGCGGTTCGAATCCCTAGCAACGTGTAACAGAGTGAGCTCCCGTTACTTGTCCCAGCTTCTGCCAAACTAGCAGTTCAAAAGCACATAAAAAAATGTAAGTAGAAAATAGGGGCCATCTTTGGTGGGAAGGTAACAGCATTTCGTGCTTCAGACATATGATTGCGGAGATGTCTTCGGACAGCACTGGCACTTTGGCTTTAAAATGGAGATGAGCACTGCTCCCTAGAGTCAAGAATGACTAGCACATATGTGCAAGGGAAACCATTACCTTTACTTATGGACCATGGTGGCTTACATGGTTAGGATGCCGGGATGGAGGTTAGCAAGCCCATGTTTGAGACCTAAGTGCTGCCATGGAGCAGAGTTGAGCTGCCATTGTCAACTTTCAAAACGATTTTAGCTGAAGCCATGTTTTCCTTTCTTTGTTTCTTAGTTGCCACACATATGGGGGGAGGAAACCTATAGGGTGTAGAATGTTTTCCTCTAAAGTGCCAGACGTAACAGCAATAAAGCTTGTGAGAACCAAGGTCAGCTCAATGTGCCCTCGTAACAGCCGGAGGGAGTGCTGAAAAGGTTGCCACTTTCCCTGGTTGGTTTACGTGACCTGTAACACTAAGGAGAGTGGGTAGTATCTATTCTTTTAATTATATCAAAGCGCAGGAAATATTCAGAGTTGGTTCCACATTTGACTGTGCCGATATGATGTACCCAATCAAGGAGATCTTTGAGAAGAGCTACAGCCTCAGAGTCTGAATTGATTGGGATCATTACTCGGAACCATGACACCTGTCCTTCATTCCCGCTCCTGCTGTGGACATGAAACTGAGCTAATCTTTCAATCCCGAAGTGCCTCAGTGCTTCTGACACAAGTGCAAGTCCCTTTTTAATCGGCAAAAAAATTGTAAGTTGAGGAAGCAAAATAAAAAAGGAGGAGATGCGTTTCCAGTTACAGTTATGTCATTTGTACTGTAGCTTATCTGATACATAAAATATTTTCAGAAGAAAAAAATGACCTTGTTGGTCATATGGATTCTTTAGTCCCATTGCTGAAAATAAGCCACTGAATAAAGTAATGTGCAGGCTGTTCAGACATTTACCAAAAACACCTTCATGGATAAATCAAAGGCTAAAATCAAATGATTTTAAGGTAGTTCAATTTTACTCCCAGGCTTATTGAGATGTTCTTGTGAATAGATCTCCCTAAGATTGTGTGGATAGTTTTCTATGCAAGAGTCCATATCTAACTGCCAGCACTTTAATTTTCTTTTTCAGGGTTATTACTTTCACACTGAAAATCCCTTCAAAGATTGGCCTGGTGCTTTTGAAGAGGGACTAAAAAAACTGAGAGAAGGGGACTTGCCCCTCACCATCCTGTACTTGGAGGCAGCTATTCTCCAAGACCCACATGATGCTGAGGTAACTACCCTGGTGAATATCTGGAACTAGTTAAAATTCCCTTCAGAGTCTTTTATCGGTTGTGAAGAAACAGCTCTGGACTTCTTGGTGCTCTCTGAGCTTGGTTGTTTTCTTGAAGACCTTTAATTATCCAACTAGGTAACATCATCAGTGTGAGTGAGTGAGTGTGGGGTTTGCTCCAGCAATGGGATCCTACCTGTTCCTACTATTGGTTCGATGATTGCACAGCTTCTGCCACACCAGCTGAGGCCTGCAGCGCCAATCAGCTGAGAGGATAAAGAAGAGTGGCGGGTGGGAAGGCCGATCCTGCACTTTTCTCTTCTTTCTCCTCTCAGCTGATTGACATTTTTCCTCCTCTCAGCTGATCGTTGGAGGCTTTCTTTAGTACTGGTTCAGGCAAACCGGTCCGAACTGGTAGCATACCACCATTGGTTTGCTCTCTGTTGATATCCATTAGCTTGCCCCTCCAGTTTTGATGGAGGTGTGGTTTTGTCCTTTATTAATGCCTTAATTAGAGTGTTATTTGATTCCTTGATTGTTATTTGAAACAACTTTTATTGTCATCCCCTATACTACCCATAGACATGTTGTCAACTTAATCAATGGGAACAACCTTGAAAGGGAGCTATTAATATCAGAATATTCAACCATTCCTCACTTTTCGGCTTTCTCCATTTTGGAGAAAAAGCCCAAATATATTTCATAGCCTTGGTGCTTTCTCACTCATATATAATTTGAATGTGATAACACTGTTTTATATTCCCTTGAGCACCATCTCCTTGTGTCCATTGGAACTGGCATCTTCCTGATTGGTTCTGAAGTCGACATTCAGGATTTAGAATGGAGGGGATGATGTGGTGGAATGTAGTCTGGATTCCCAGGAAGGACGGGCTGCATGTCAGAGGAGTTTAGGTGGTTTGTGTGGGAGAAAGAGAGTGAAGGAGGCTACTCCCTAAGAGTGCCCAGTGTGTAGATTTAATGGTGCAAGTAGTCTGCTTTAGTTTAGTAAGATTTTTGTCTGTAGGTCAAGAACAATAAAGAACCCTAGTGTGTCTTTCTTGATTTGTGAGCCTGACATCAATCTTGACAGACTAAAGCAGACTTTTTTTTTTGCAGCCTTGCTTTTTAAAATAAAGACCTACATGACTTTCATAACAAAATAGTTTCCCAGAGTTTATTCTGCTGATACCTAGCATGGTATAATGCTCAAACGTCCCATTTTGCAGGCCTGGCAGTTTCTTGGAATAACCCAAGCAGAAAATGAAAATGAACAGGGAGCCATAGTTGCCCTCCAACGGTAAGTGACACTAATGACTGTTGGGTTTATGGGCCCAATTGGTATCCAGATGGTTGCCTTATTGCTTTCAGATGGAAAGAGAGGGTTTCCGTAAATCACGGACATATCTTTAAGGGACTGGAGGCTGAAACATATGAAGACCAGTCACTGGAATTGGGTATGTCTAGTTTAATGAAAAGAAGGATTAGGGTGTGACATGATAGAGGTGTCCCATATCTCTGGGGCTGCCCCAAAGAAGAGGGAGTCAAGCTGAAGGCAGGACAAGAAGCAATGGGTGGAAACTAATCAAGGAGAGAAGCAACCAAGTACTAAGGAGAAATTTCCTGACCGCGAGAACAATTAACCAATGGAATGACTTGACTTGAAAAATGACTTCAATTGATGATATGGGCATCAGTCAAACTGCTCCTATTTGAGATGCCAAACTGCTTGGTACTATTCTACTCCACTCACATCTTAACAACTGCAAGAAACTGCTAGGAAAGGTTATGCCAGGTGGTGCTCCATTCAAAATTCAAGAAAGAAAACTTAGACTCTTTAGATTAGAGCAAAGATGTCTTTTACTGAAAATGAAGTGGTAACATCAGTAGAATTCTGAATCTGGGAAATTAGGCACGCAGATCACATATACAAAGTGTTGGAAACATTCCCACCCCTCATAGTTCAAATGATTCTTCCAATTAAAAGTTGTGAATATGATCATGTGGTCATCTTCAGGTGGTGAGGAGGCCTCTGTCCGTTGACCTTGGCATATTTTGATAAAGATTTGCAGCTGCGCAGAGAAAAGAAAGCTAAGCGAGAAATAGAAACTTAAGAGCAGGAATTTATACTCCCCCCTCTCCTCATTTACACCACACAAGAATGTAACACCTCCAGCTCTCTTCCCAGACGTTATTCCCCCTCCTCCCCCCGTTACTTATGGCAGCCAAAAGATGCAAAGCAGTAGTAGAAGATCTTGAAGGCTGACAGGTTATCTGATTGTTCAGGATCAGATATTGGGATGCTGAAGACACCCTTTTCATCTTCTAGAGGTCCTTTTGTATTTCCTGGTGGCTGGGGGAGAGAAAATTCATCACTGAATCATAGCAGGATGGAGGTGCGATATATCCTAAGCAAGCCTGCTGTGAATTCCTGATTTAAATCCCCACTGATTTAAAAGGATGGCACAATCCCGGGGGTGGGCTTCAAAAATTTCAGCAACCACTTCTCTGCCTGGTTGCTGGGTGGGTGTGGCCATGGTGGGTGTGGCCTAGTCGGCATCCTGCACCACGGCGGGGCGGGGGATGTTTTTGCCTTCCCCAGGCTCCAGAGGCTTTCCTTGAGGCTTTCCCCCGTGCTCTGGAGGCTGGAAACTGGCCCGTTTCCAACCTTCTGGAGCATACGACAGGCCCGGTTTTTTGCCCTGCCCAAGCCTCCATATGGGCCCTGCATTGACCTTGCATCCAAAATGGGCCATGTGAGGAGTCTTCGGAGGGGCAGGGTTGTTGTGGTCCGCCGGCAACCTGCGGAGACGGCAGCAGAGTCAGACAGTGGGGAAAACATGGGCCAGTCTGGGGAGGACTCAGATGATGGTCCTGCGTCCAATACAGAGATGGGGCCAGGGCCATTTGGGAATTATCTGCTGACTTCGGAGCCTCCAGAATCTGACAGCAGTGAGGTAGAGGAACAAGGGGAGCCTGTTCCCAATGCATGTGTGCACAGAGCTGTCAGAAGGCAAGAACAGTTAAGACAAAAGGGGCAACTCAGGAGTAAGGCTTGATTGCCCCTCCCATAAGATATAAAGGAGGAGCAAAGGGACAGGAACCTTTACAGGAAGCAATGTTGTTCGCACTATTAAACCTTGAAGCTCTGTGTGGACTTTGTACTCCATTTGGCTTTTTACATTTAATTTGGCACTTTAGTTGTTGGCAGCAATTCAAAGGAAATCAAGGTGAGTGCTTATCTCAAGAGACTGTTTGGGAGTCATTATGGACTGGGAATGAACATAATTCCCAGCATTGAAATTAAAAAAAGAGTTGTTTGGACTAAGCGTGTGTTTAATTACGGTCTCAGGAAGCCTTGGTCAGAACAGGGGTGGAGTGGGGTGGGAGGGGCCAGCCAGGGGAGGGATTGGGTGGTTCTCTGAACCAGCCATAACATTAGCTATAGGTTCTCCTGAACCCAGGAGAACCTGTAGCAGCTCACCCCTGCACAATCCCCCGAGAAATCCACAGTGCTGGAACAGGTGGAAGGAAAAATAAAAAGAGCCTAAGCAACAGCAAGGCAGATGCTCTTGTTCAGTGAGGAGTACACCATTGGAAGACCTGAAAGGCCGGCTTTAAGATCACCCTAGAGAAGGTCTATCTATACGACTACTAGGAATCAACCTTGTCCCAATGGTACACAATAAACGGACTTCCTGAAAAAGCAGAACCCTAACTTTGACGTTTTGACTCACAATTATCCCTTGATCAGTAGAGGCCATCTATGGCCATGGGAATGTCCCTCCAGGTTCAGCTGGGATATCAGTTATGGGTTCCTCTGGAGCAAGAGGCCTTGGAGATAGCAAGCCCATGCTTTCAGCTCCCTGAGAACACTCTGATTAAGCAAGTGTCCTTTTGCCTCTGCTCAGGTGCTTAGAGCTTCAGCCAAACAACTTGAAAGCCCTCATGGCCTTAGCCGTGAGCTTCACAAACACTGGCCACCAGCAGGAGGCTTGTGAAGTCTTAAGAAGCTGGATCAAACAGAATCCCAAGTACAGATTCCTCTTCCGAAGCAAGAAAGGTTCTCCAGCGTTGGCCAGGAGGATGTCAAAGACAGCTGATGAAAGGTAACAATAATCCCAGATTAACTAATTTAGAAGCAAAATTTGGGACACTGAAACATCACCCAATTCAACCTGCATTTAAAACATGTTCTCTATTTTAAAAGGACATGGGAGCAAATAAATTCTGCCATCTGTTCTGAGTCCCGGGTGATAGTTTCATTGCTCTTATATTAGTCTACATTTGTCTCCACACTGTATTATTTCTAGTTCCCTGCTGGAAGAAGTGAAGGAGTTATTTCTTGAAGGAGCTCATCATAATGGTGAATTGGTTGACCCAGACTTGCAGACGGGGCTTGGAGTGCTCTTCCATCTGAATGGGGAATTTAACAGAGCAATAGATGCATTCAATGCTGCCCTCACTGTGCGCCCAGAGGTACGTTTGGCACTTTAGCATTAAAATGTTTACTTCTATTGCCCTGGTGGTTTCGGGTGCTCTTTCTGGCAGTTCCTAGCAGCTATCTCTCCCTGGCGTTTGCTGACTCTCATATTTCTCATTGAGAGGGGGAGCTGATGAAGAAATAACACCTACTAGGTTTTACAGGGGATGCCCTGGGAGATTATGGCCTTAAGCAGGGGTCCCCAACCACCGGGCCCTGGACTGGTACTGGTCCGTGAATCATTTTGTACCGGGCCGCCTATTTTGCTTGGGTGCCGCCATCTTGTTTCGATGGCGCTTGAGAAAATGCTTCCGGGTGAGCTTGTCGGTCGTCGGTTGGAAAGCGGCATTTGGGTGCTGAAGGAATCCTCGCGCCTTAGTTTTATCGAAGGGGGGGGGGGCGGCTTCAAACGAAGAGCTGTCCCGATGGCGGTGGAGTCTCGCATTACTCAGGAGGAGATTAAGAAAGAGCCCGAAAAGCCCATCAACCGTGAGAAGGTACAAAGGAGGAGTTGAAGGTGGATGGGAGAAGCGGGGGACGGCTGGCTGGCCGGTCGCTCGGCTCACCTTGCCTTGGTCATGCGTGCTGATGCCAGTACTGGTCCATGGATCATTTTGCACATTTTGTACCGGTCCATGGTACAAAAAAGGTTGGGGGCCACTGGCCTTAAGGACATCCAATTTAGGGTAGTCCAACGGCTTGTGGACATTTATTTGCAATATCTACAAGCCAGAGCTAACAAAACTTGCTCCCCTCTGATCTTCAGCCGATTTAATAATTACGGACTGAGGATGGCTTCCTATTTTTACACTCTAACCATTCCCAAGTATAGAAGAGCTTTCTCCCTAGCTCGCTTTAATGTTCTTCCCTCAGCACTACTGGATGGGCGATTTAAGAGGCTCCTGATTAACGAGCGGCTATGCCCCTGGGACAGAGCTGAGGTTGAAACTGTGGAGCATGTCCTTTTATATTGCCCTATGTATAACACAGGCAGATCTAAGTTACTGTCTCTCCTTGAAACAGACCCTTGTAGACCTAATGTTAGTAATTTGTTCTTATATTGTCTAGGGGATGGCTCCTCATATATCACTTCTTTGGTTTCCAAATTTTTTTAAAGAGCTGTAATCATCAGAGGAGAACACTGAAATTCCCCTTAGTCAAGTTTTTGGTGACCAATTATTCATGATTAATTTTCCCATGTTCTTCTTTTGTTGTACTTGTGTTTTGGTCTGTGACCGCAAATAAAGTATTATTATTATATTACTTCTATTGCCCAATGTCCTTTAAACTATTAATTAGTGTTTGCTTTAGCCACTAATGTGCCTAAAGTGAATCATTAATTGCAAGCTCCTTTTTAAAATAGTTTAGATAGTTTAACAGATTAACAGAGCTGGAAGGGACCTTGTAGGTCATCTAGTCCAACCCCCCCACCCCACCTAAGCAGGACGCCCTACACCATTTCTTACAGATGGCAGTCCAGTCTCTTCTTGAAAGCCTCCAGTTATGAAGCTCTCACAAATTCTGAGGGCAGGCTGTTCCATTGGTTGATAGTTCTCACTGTCAGAAAATTCCTCCTTATTTCTAGGTTGAATCTCTCCTTGATCAGTTTCCATCCATTATTCCTTGTCTGGCCTTCAGACGCTTTAGAAAATAGGTTGACCCCTTCCTCTCTGTGACAACTCCTCTCCCAATTCCGGCTTGCCTAACAAAAAAAAAAAAGGAGTAAATCTCAGGAAATTATCTTGAATTCAGAATCATAACAGAGCTGGAAGGGACCTTGGAGGTCTTCTAGTCCAACCCCCCTGCTCAAGCAGGAGACCCTATACCCATGATGGCGAACCTATGGCACACATGCCACAGGTAGCACTCAGAGCCATTTGTGTCAGCACGCGAGCTGCAGGAAAACTTACCCCACTGTGCATGTACATGCCTCACAGCTGATTTTCAGCCAGTTTGAGGCCTTTTTCAGCCTCTCAAAGGCTTGAGGAAGGCTTCTGCAAGCTTTGCAGGCCGAAAACTAGCCCCATTTCATCACTTCTGGTATTTTCGGAAAAACAGGAAGTGACAAAACGGAGCTAGTTTTCAGCCTGCAAAGCTTCCAGAAGCCTGCAGAAGCCTTCCTCAAGCCTTTGGGAGGCTGAAAAAGGCCTCAAACCAGACAAAAATCAGCTGCGAGCCGCAGTGCAGGTAAGTGGGTAGCAGGGAGTGGGTGGGTGGGTGATTGCGTACTCATGGGTAGGGGGTGTGGGGGGGCTCATTGCCTTCTGGGTGCTGGCACATGAGTGAGAGCGTGCAAGCACACGCACAATTTTTGTCACAGGAGCCCAAAAAGTTTAGCCACCACTGCCCTATACCATTTCAGACAATCTCAGAAAGTTACCTTGAGTTGCATGCCATACTAGTGAAAGGAGAAGACACTTTTACCCATATCATACATATCATTTGAACAGAATGAGCAAAAAAAGAAGAGATCAAATTGGTCTGCACAAGGATTATACCTAAATTGTTGTTGTCTTGTCAGGATTATTCATTGTGGAACCGTCTAGGAGCAACCTTAGCAAATGGTGATCGAAGCGAAGAAGCAGTAGAAGCCTACACTCGAGCATTAGAGATTCAACCTGGCTTTATCAGATCTAGATACAATTTAGGAATCAGCTGCATCAACCTAGGCGCATATAGGTGAGTAGGTTCATAGGAATTTTGGCTTGTAGAGATTCTCAGTCATCCAGGTCATGGTTGTCCCAAAGGTGCTTTTTCAAGAGGCAACTGGACTTTCTGGTCTTTCTTTTGAAGACCTCTTCTCTTCTCTTCTCTTCCAAGAAGCATCTTCAGCTCTGAGTGGATGGTGGGGAATGGAAGGATTTCTACTCCTTGCAGACAGCTGGTCATTTGCATCCTTTTAGAAGGTCATTGAAGCACTTGCAGGTTTATCTGTGTCCTTAGGATCACCCGAGTAGTGCTCTTGGTTCCTATAGTCTGCAATTTTCCCCCCTCTGGAAATCCATTCCTACTCCCACGCCATTCAAAGGGTGTTCATCCCAAATTGTATAACTAAAAGTCTGTAGAGATTCTCAGTCATCCAGGTCATGGTTGTCCCAGAGGTGCTTTTTCACGAGACAACTGGACTTTCTTGTTTTTCTTTGAAGACATTTCACTTCTCATCCAAGAAGCTTCTTCAGCTCTGACAGGATAGTGGGAAATGGGAGGATTTATAGTCCTTGCAAACAGCTGGTCATTTGCATCCTTTTAGAGGGTCATTGAACCACTTGGGGGTTTATCTGAGTCCTCAGGGTCACCTGAGAATTTTGGTTGTTAGATATTGTGGAAATGGTGGATTCTTTTTGTACATGTTTTGTTGTTGTTGTTTTTCCTAACCTGTAGAGAGGCGGTGAGCAACTTCCTCACAGCTCTCAATCTGCAACGCAAGAGTCGGAATCAGCAACAGGTGTCTCAACCAGTAATATCAGGTAATATTTGGGCTGCTCTCCGGATTGCATTGTCTATGATGGACCAGCCAGAACTCTTTCAGGCTGCTAATGTGGGTGACCTGGATGTGCTATTAAAAGCGTTCAACATCGAGTCTTAACTACAACCCCTCTCGGTTTTTCTCGCTCACAACTTCCAAATGAATCGTATCAACGCTCTACCCTGAGAGAAAACTTCCTTAACATTCGCAACCTGACTTACAACCCCAACAGAAATGATTTGGACTTCTTTCCAGCGTGAAGGATCTACAGATGCCATCAGATCTTCGGGGGTGGGGGTGGGGGGAGGAAAGACGTTCATAAGCACAACATTTTGTAAATACACACCTGACAGGGCTTGGATGTTCGTGATGGAATTAAAAGAAGAACAGCTATCTTGATAACGTAACAGCACTTTGAGAAACAACCTTGCTTGCATGTTCTATACAACATCCATAAGGTACAAAGGAAGGAAGGTTGTCTGACCATGCTACGGAGACTCAAGAGCACATAAACCAGGAGCAAAGGGCAAGTTTTCTTAAAGACTTCTTCTGGTCCACTGGATTTGCTGCCCTTGATCCAGAGCATCCACGGGGAAAATGGGTAACTCACGGTTCATTTTCCACAGATGTGATCATCAGTATATGTGCATGTTAGATAGCTGTCTTTTCCCCATAACTGTATTAAACAGGTGGATACCTGTTTAATATATTAGGGATTTCAATTATATTATCCGAATTTTTATTCTGAAAGCTGCTACCCCGTCAAGCAGAGTTCTTCACGCGATTCCCAAAACAATGTGTGCATGTCAAATCATATCTATCAGGGCTGCGTGTCATGCAATTGTAAACTGCTATTTGCACTAGATGTCGGGGTACGTATGAGTAGGGCTGGACCTAACTGGGCACCTTAGAAAGGTATCTGGGTGCACTCTGCCCCTTTTGTCTCTCTAGATCCAAACACCACACGTTGTGACGTTCGACAGCGAGCTTGTTTCAGAATATTAGCTTTCAACCATCCATTTTAGGTGTTTCTGAAATGCACTGAAATATTGGGCTGGGTGTCACTTGTTACTTAAGAATGCCAGAATGTACAGGTAATCCTTGACTTATGACCACAATTGAGCCCAAAATTCCTGTTGTTAAGTGAGACATTTGTTAAGTGCCCCATTTTACGACCTTTCTTACCAGCGTTGTTAAGTGACTTGGTGCAGTTGGCAAGTTAGAAACCCGATTGTGAAGCGAATCTGGCTTTCCCATTGAGCTTGCTTGTCAAAAGGGGATCCACATGATCTTGGGACACAGGAATAGTCCTAAGTATGAACCAGTTGCCAAGCGTCTGAATTTTGATCACATGATCATGCTACCAAGGTTGTAACTGTGGAAATTGGTCATAAGTCACATTTTTTCAGTGCCACTGTAACTTTGAACGGTCATTAAATGAACTATTGCAAGTCAAGGACTACCTGTAATTGGAGTCAGTTCAAGATGGCTCCCATCCCCAAAGTGGTCAGGGAAGGTTTTATGCAGTTGCTAGGCAACTGTAATGAGCTTCCTTCAATGAACAGACCAACGCTGTTGGCCACAGCTATGGTGGAAAGCAAACAGGAATTTTTAGCAGCTGGCTGCATTACATCTCAGCAGGTATCGGGCCATTATATCTGCTGAGCCTTGTTTTGAGCAGAGCTCACACAACTTAGATAGAATTGATAAAACTTGCACTTTAATCTAGCTTTCTTGTTTTTCTTTTAAAGGAAGACAATATGCCCTGCTTTCATCTCCTCAAAGGATGTGGACGTAGTTGCATTAGCCTAAACCAGGGATATCAAACACAAGGCCCGGGGGCTGGATCTGGCCCATGAGGTGCTTAGATCTGGCCCTCACGGCAGCCCTGGAAATAGAGAAGGACCACCCCGCAGTACAGTGGTGGAATTAAAAAAGATTTGTTACCGGTTCTGTGGGACTGGCTTGGTGGGCGTGGTTTAGTGGGTGTGGCAGGGGAAGGATACTGCAAAATCTCCATTCCGACCCCACTCCAGGGAGAAGGTTATTACAAAATCCCCATTCCCTCCCCACCCCACTAACCTGCTTTCCAGCTCCGTTCTCCTGTGCAGGGCAACAAAAGAAGCTGGGACTTGGGAGGCAGAGAATAGATGGGGGTGGGACCAATCAGAGGTGGTATTCCAAACTACTCAAAATTTCTGCTACCGGTTCTCCAGAAGTGGTCAGAACGTGCTGAATACCCACCTCTGCCACATTGCCTCTGCCAGCAAAAATGGAGCTCATGAGGGGCTGCACGTGGACCCCTTCCCCCAATCTCCATTTTTGCTGGCAAAAGGTTGCAGGAGGCTGTCCCAGAGCCGAAAATGGGGCTCAGGAGCCTGTTTTCGCTGGCAGAGTGCTCGGGCCGCCACAGGCGCCCCCCTGACACAAGTGACGTCATGCTGGCCACTCCCACCCTGGCCACAGCCACACACCCCTGAGGTCAAACACAACCCTGATGCAGCCCTCAATGAAATCGAGTTTGACACCCCTGGCCTAAACCAAGACTTCCTAGCTTTAAAGGGGTGTGGACTTCAACTCCCAGAATTCCCCCGCCAGCATGAATGGCTAGGGGATTCTGGCAGTGGAAGTCCACAATTCCTTCAAGTTGCCAAGTTTGGGAAAGCACAAGGAGAAGGCAACCTTTTAAAAAGCAAATAGAAGTTACACAATTACACTGGAGCATTGAGATAATATGGATGGCAAATATTGTCAAGGAGAGAAGGTACAACTGTTCCTTCCCTTATCTCAAGAAAATGTGCATATGGGCGCCTTTCTTCCTTTGGCAAACAAAGTAGCTCCCACTCCAGCCCCACTTTTCTATTGCTATAATAAAAAGTTGCAGATGGGATGCAAAACTAGTTTCCATCCTTGAGAGAAAGATGGCCAAATCTTTTGGTCATTGATAAAGGGCGGTTAATAATACCGCCGCACCTCAAGCCCACTACGAAAGAAGCAAATTGAGCTTCCCTTAAACACAAATGCAGGAGCCTTGGGATCTATTGGCTCCGTGTACCTCAAGACAATAAAGTGCCTCATGAAAAAAAAAACAAAGTCCCCTTAATTCATAGATAAAGGGTCACATGTTGATGGAAGAGTCCCATTGGTGGGATTTTCCTGCATATTCTGGATGGAGCAAGAGTCATTGGGCTCTTCCAAAAAGGGTTTTCCGTGTTCACTGTACAGGCTTTGTGGGGTTCAAAATGCTGTCAGTGTTCAACAACAATACTCAGAGGCTGGAATGTGGTGGAATGCAGCCTGGACTTGCAAGAGGGATGAGCTCTTTCCCAAACAACAAAGAGACAGCAGGGCTTGGAATCCTTGGGGTGAAGGCAATAGTTATAACAAATATAGGCATTCAGATAACAGATCATCAGAGTTGGAAGGGACCTTATAGGTCATCTAGTCCACACACACCCTGCCCAAGCAGGAAACCCTACATCATTTCTGACAGATGGCAGTCCAATCTCTTCTTGAAGGTCTCAAGTGATGGCGCTCCCACAACTTCTGAGGGCAACTTCTGTTCCATTGGTTGATTGTTCTCACTGTCAGAAAGTTTCTCCTTATTTCCAGGTTGAATCTCTCCTTGTTCAGTTTCCATCCATTCTTCCTTGTCCGGCCTACAGGTGCTTTAGAAAATAGATTGACCCCTTCTTCGCCTCTGTGGCAGCTCCTCAATATTGGAAGACCGCTATCATGTCTCCCCTGGTCCTTCTCTTCGCTAGACAAGACAAGCCCAGTTCTTGTAACTGTTCTTCGTATGTTTTAGTCTCCAGTCCCCTAATCATCCTGGTTGCTCTTCTCTGCACTTTTTCTAGAGTCTCAACATCTTTTTTATAATACGGTGACCAAAACTGAATGCAGTACTCTAGGTGTGATCTTACTAAGGCTTTATAGAGTGGTATTAATACTATTAGTACTAGTCTATTCCTCGACTTATCACCACAATTGAGCCTAAAATTTATGTTGGCAAGTGAACATTTCTTGAGTTTTGCCCTCTTTCTACGACTTTCCTTGCCGCTGTTGTTAAGTGAATTCTTGCAATTGTTAAGTTACTAACATGGCTGTTATCTGAATCTGGCTTCCCCGTTGGCTTTGCTTGTCAGATGGTCGCAAAAGTGGGTCATGGGCCACTGCAATGGTCATAGCAATAGCACTTAGACTTATATACCGCCTCACAGTGCTTTTATAGCCCTCTCTAAGCGGTTTACAGAGTCAGCATATTTCCCCCCACAATCTGGGTCCTCATTTGACCCACCTCAGAAGGACGGAAAGCTGAGTCAACTTTGAGCCTGGTGAGAGTTGAACTGCCAAATTGCAGGCTACCGGCAGTCAGCAGAAGTAGCCTGCAGTACTGCATTCTGACCACTACACCACCACAGTCATAAATATGAACCAGTTGCCAAGCACCTGAATTTTTATCACATGACCATGGGGATGCTTCAATGGTTGTAAGTGTGAAAATGGTCATAAGTCACTTTTTCCAGTTGTAACTTTTAAATGAAGTGTTGTAAGTTGAGGACTACCTGTAATGGATTGAGTCTGGAAACTTAAATAACAGGAACCAAGAACACACGTGGAGTTGCTTCTGAGGAGTTTCTTTATTGTTGTTCCCCAGTAGACAGAAATCTTGCCAGACTAAAGGAACTCTCTGCATAGCTATTAGGTATCTAAGGGGCTGTCACAGAGAAGAGGGAGTCAACCTATTCTCCAAAGTAGCTAAAGGCAGAACAAGAAACAATGGATGTATACTAATCAAGGAGTGAACCAACCTAGAAATAAGAAGTTTACAGAACAATTAATTAATCGAACGGCTTGCCTTTAGAAGTTGTGGGTGATCCATCACTGGAGGTTTTTTAAAAAGAGATCGGACAGCCATTTGTCTGAAATACAATGGGATCTCTTGTTTGAACAGGGGGCTGGACTATAAGACCACCAAGGTCTCTTCCAATTTTGTTACATATTCTGTAAACTGCTAGGGAGGCTCCACCTTCACCCTCTTTCTGCCTACTAGACATTCTTTGCTCCACTGTCTTTGCTTTCCATGAAAGAGCCCCTTGCTCCTGCAATTTTGGACTTCC